GAGATCAAGCTTTGGCAGCATAATGCTTTATTCTTGCCCACAGAAGCACCAGTTTGTCTTGATTCACGGAACTTGTTCTTATAGATAGTAGCATAAACATCATTTTCAGAGAGTAAATTGGACAGATCAAAATTCATCTGAATTTATCTTGACAGTTGAAGGAGATGGCTGAAAGATTACCAATTGGAGCAGCAAGAAATGACAACAGCAATTCACCATCATTTCATTATTCTAGCCCCACCACTAGAGATTTTTCTTCTGGAGGCAGTGAACAACTGAGCAGTCCCAGAACATGCCATGAATTAGATTCAAATGGATCAAATGGTGTAGTGGTTTCTAATGGCTTAAGCACCAATTATAACCACAACTGCAACCACATTGAAGCAGTACATTTGGAAGCAACTGCCAGAAACAGGAGCAGAGCAAAAGCTGAGCCCAACTACGGGGATGAATGGGTTGAACAAGATGAACCTGGTGTCTATATTACCCTTGTTGCCTTGCCTGGAGGTGTCAAAGATCTTAAGCGTGTCCGCTTCAGGTATGACATATTCAACTACGAGCTACAATTCATTCACTCAGATATATCTTGTGCAATTTTAACTTTTAAGATCTAATTTTAGAGTTGACACCATGCAAACATATCTGTAGCACAAGATTTTAACTCTAGCACCTTGAAGAACTGCAAGACGCTCGAGTGTTTGTTTTAAAAATTATTTACTGGGGATCTTTGATTGATTTTTCATTGTCGCAGAATTCACTTTGGCTTCCCTTAATGCCATCTTATTTAGTTTTGGAGTTACTTTTGGCAAGCTTGAACTGTTGAAGTTTCGAACCCTGTGCAGCAGTTATGTATCCCAGTTAATTCATTATCACTACCTCATAGTTAAAAGTCTTTTACTGCTCTTTTTTAACATGTTTTACCATAAAAAAACCAGTTAAATGGGATTTTCTATGCATTGGTCTGCTTCCTACTTTTGGGAAATATTGTTGTTTATGGGAGAGTCAGGAATGGATGACAAAATACCTTCGGGGAGTATTTGTTTAACCAAAACATGAATTTGATCATGCATACTATGCCATTTATATGTAATATTTAATAGATTTGTGATACAAAATCTATTTAAATCATGAAGTTGCATCTGGATTTTTTTATTTTATTTTAGAAAAGGTTTTTTATCCACCCGTTCCAATCTTTAATAAGATAATTTCAAAAGAAATGCTCTATTTGTTTTCCCAATTCCATTGTAAGCTCTTCAACCTTCTATCTTCTCAAACGTGTGAACTTGGATTGAAATTTACAGGCTTCTGATTTCCTTAATCCTTTGCTGTCTAAATCCTCGTAGCCTCATTCTTCAATTTCTCAATTTTGTTATAACATCAACAATATTGTATCGATTGTCTCTGTTAATTCTCATGTCCTTTTTCTATGTGTACTTGAGGTTGCGTATTATGATTTCAGCATATGTATGCAAATTTCAATTTGAATTTTGATGGACAAATGTTGGTGAAATACATATAGTTTCCGTGCCTTGTTTACTAGTTCATTTTCCTTTCCTCTTCCCTTTGTAAATAGAATTTTGGGTGAAAGGCTTATATGCAGAGCACAAATAATGAAAATATACATATACATTTTCTTGAAGGCTAAAATCCACCTTATGGTCTTGAACATCCAAATACACCTTGAGGTTTTCAGTTTTACTTAAATGCGACCTTCCTTTAACAGACACTCAAAGCAGCAATAGTCTATGTGTCACATCGCATGTGAGATGGGCACATCATCAATGTCAAATTAAGTCGTCATCAGTATGGCATCCTCATGGATGCATGCTATGAACATATAACACGCAAACATATCTGCCCTTCTCGCCCATCTCCTCTTGCCCCAAAATCTAGGGCATAATGATGCTTTCTACTTACCAGCTTTAACTGTCTTGATGCCTCCAGTGGACGACATAATCTATCTTCCTCAATTACTTTTTATCAGCTGAGGCAAAATGTCAAACACAAAGAATCAA